GTCCTAATTGTTGTTTAAGGTCATGGCCAAGTGACCCAGTGTATGAAAATTGTTCTTGGATAGAGTAATAGGAACCGTATTCATTTAGGGGTAAAGGTCACAACCTCTGTTTGGTGTGTAGAGAAGTGTTGATGTTCAGAATTTCCTGTGTGATGTCATCGGATGCATTATTGTTTACCTTTAATATTGATCATAGGTTATTTAACCTACGAAAGGTTTTTTTACCAATATCTTTTTATGGACTCTTACAGAAAGGGCATACATGTCAACATAAGGTAGCACAGGTACCATATATTACCAGTGATAACCCCTTGTATGGTAATAAGCCCACCCCCACTATGCTTTACTTTTCGTGCAATGAGTGGGTGCCTGGTAATAAGCCCACCCCCTTTCTTCAAGTTCGTCGGCATGATTTTTTTATATTGTTGTACATCGTGCAATGTAAATTAAGTCATGCTAACAAGCAGAATATACCTGTACACTCCGCAGCGTCAAACATCTACTAGCATTTACAACATCATCGAAAAATGTGGCTGGCTGGCGATATCTGACCTCTGACTCTGACATGTATGTATAAAAACTCAGTATACAGACCATTTAGATTACAATGAAATATCAGTTTAGATAACATATGGTCGTTTTATGAAATGATTTAATGTACAATAGCAGCACACATATACATACAAACAGATACATATAAATGGCCTTGCGCTCTTGGTGTCCACTTGACACTGTAGACATCATCTCAGTGGATGAGTAGAGGGTGGGACACTGTGTTGGTTTTAATTCTGAATATAACATCAGTTAATTAATTCAATTCTCTAGATCTGTGTCTTAGATACAAGTGCTTCATAAAGAGGATGAATTGTGAAAATATTAAATTCCAAACCAACAATTTAATCAATTTACAACTTACGAATTTGCAAAATTTGATCGGGTCTGTGCTGCCATTAAGTTTATAAGGCTTAAGCTAAATCTAGGTCTGCAGTTTCTTCAAATAAACAACTTGGAAATGATAGGGTTGTGTAAAATCTGGTGTAGTACAGAAGAGAGAAAAAACTTCGACTACTACGCCCAACGGGACTTAGCTAGGTTTGAGGACAGAGTCATGGGAGAGGTTAAACAGATGTGTGTAATAGCTGAGCAACTAGAAGTGTGTGCAATGTTCATATTTCCTCACATTTTGGGAGGGAACGGTACAGTAGTACATTATCACACAAATGCAGTCTGCATCTTATTTACTGTGATAGAATGTATTCCTCAATTTTTGAAATGTTTTCGCAATAATTCTACTTGAAAGTTAAAATAGCTTTCAACTTCTTGTCAATTTCACGAAGCTATCTGAAGCTTTATGATGGTCTGCTCATGATTGAATAAAGTGCCACCAACTTTAAACACATAATGATAGAAAAATAAAGTTCATCGCTGTCATATGTAATTGAAATTTATTGTTGTAAATAATTGAAAGATTTTGTATAGATTGTCAAGTCGTTATGGTCAAAAAGAAAGACAGGCTTCATAGGGTTTCCATTTACCAACAGTAGAAATTTAAAACCACTGCTTATATAAAATTGCAAATTATTATGATTTTTCTGAAGCATATGGATGACTTTCAGGTATTTACTCTATATAAAAACAGGGGTCCTTGTCCTCAGAAAGTTTATAAACAAATGGGTATAGTTACTGGTAATGAGCTCATCACTGGCAAGGGGAGGGCTTAACATCAAGCATTAGATTATCATTGGATGTATACCAAACATGAGCTCATCGAATATAAAACTAACATGGGGTGGGCTTACAAGCATTGGACCAATGCAGGATGTATACTGTCCAAGTTCATCACTGGATATAAACAGTAGTAAGGGGTGGGCTTAACTCCATCCATGGTTATTATATCACTGGTAACATGTGGTAGTTAAGTTGTGATATTGGTCAACATTGTAACATTTTATTCTGGGTAATGATGACATGACACTAGTTAATGACATACAGATTGATTTGGTGTGAATGAGAGGGACCTCCTGATGTGTAGGTATGTTTAGGTTGTCTGTGACTGGTAGTGTTTGTATACAATACCTGAGTATGTATGCTTGGTTCCACCTTCTTAGTCTCTAATCTGTGAAAGTTTGTGTAAAGTCAGTGCTAGGCGTATACAATTACAAGAATTAGCCTGTGGTCACCCACTATAGTAATTGTGTTGTGAATGGGATCTTCCTCAGATAGAGTCCAGTGGAGATCTAATGATAAACACTGTCCATCACCATTAGTGTTATTAGATAACAGTTTGGTTGGTCAGTACAACCCCTCCAGCTATCAAAATGGTCAGCTATATAGCTAGCTGTTTGAGATTTTAAGGTGGATTGCACTGCTGTCCACCATGCAAGGTGTCGCACACATCAGTTTAAGGTGGCTTGCACCAACAAAAACACAACAACCATCACTTGAAGTAGGTGTAGTTCTGATTCACTGACATAATGATATGAATATCCCTGCCTGCATTGATTAAGATTGCTTGCACTGCTACCAACTTTTAACATTCTGATCGTATTAGGAATCTGTGCCAAAATGTTTGTAGGATCACGTACACTAGTACTGCTTACATTGCATTTCTTCTTTAATTGTTGTGCTCAACCTACCTTTTCATCTACAGTAGGTTAAAAAAACAAAAAAACAAAAACATGCTGGTAGATTTCATGAATTTGGAGTCTCGTTCAATATCTAGAGTTTTCCTGCACAAAGTGGTCTATATGATGGCCATTGATGTAAAAACAAAAAACAGTAATGAACAAACGTTCTACAGGGATCTATAACATTAAACTAGCATGTCAGTACCTTAATAGATTTAATAGCTCAACTAGTCAGCTTTATATACATCTTGGTTTGCAATCAGTAGTAGATGGATTGATTATCAAAGAAGCAATGTCATGGTCAGATCACGAGGCTAGGAGCATCAGCTATCTGGCTACAGTTTAAAACTATTTCCAACAGAGAGGAAAGCCTTGCCCAGATCAATGTAATATTTAGACTCCATGGGTTAGGGATAAGAGGATCAGCTCTCTGCATGTCCTGACTATGAGTCTCCTGGAATATAGGTTCTCATATCAAAGGTCAGAGGGCACCCTGTTGTCAGACTCCTTTGACCTTCAATATGAATGTGACCTTCAGACAATTTAGCACACAAGAACCTGAGAACTGGTCCCAGGCTGTTTTGACTGGTCTCAGATTATCAACAGTGTGGGAGGGGATCTGATCTACTGTTTGACCTTTAGTCTGACCTCTAATTGATCTAGTTTGTCATTGATTTATGGAGAGTTGTGTATCAGCTAAAATGTAATGGTATTTAATTTGCCCATCATCTATATAAGGTTACTGCATTAATATACTTCGCTATATATTAAGAGTTGTTATGATGCTAAACATTAACCACATGACCTACTTCTATTAAAGTTAAACCAAAGGTGAAAAAAAACCTCCAAAGAAATGAAATTGAATAGCCATGCAAGAATGTATAATTATAAAAGGCATCTCCATATTTCCATTAACAGGTGAAGTAATATATTAGGATGCCTAGCTAAAACATGTGGAAAACTCACCCCAGTCAAATGTCCTGGCCTCACCTGAAAATCCTTATTTACCTCCTTAATTATTAAAACTAAATCTGTATCCTAGATTTCATATACTGGAACTATACAGATAAGGTCTTACATTAAAATTTGTAATTTGAAATTATCTGCTCTTAACTTCATCTAAGTTGTCACAGTGTTTTAGAGAGATCAGCAGCTGAAGGAAACATACCATATATTATCATTAACTCATAAGCAGAGCACTTTCCTAATGTTTTGTTTGTGACTTTATTTTTCCGTTCATACATAAAATTACAATCACTCCTATCATTAAGGTCACTGCTAACACTTTCTTTTCTTTAATTTTACAAAAAATAATTTAACGAGTAAAAATCTCATTAATCTTCTAAATTAGACAAAGAGTTTAAAAGCATAAAAAAAGACATTCTTTTTATGTTGCATGTCATCCACTTAGTCTGTCTCTCCATTCACCGATTATAGTAATTGATCAGCGACCATGGATGAAGACAGATGGACAAAGACACTCTACTTTGTTTTGTCAAGTGTACACACTTATTAGTGTTGAATTTAGTTTTTTCTTTGGGTTTTTTTTAACCCATTTCTCATTATTCACACAAAATGTGTGAGGAATTTAAAATGTTAACAATCGTTACATGAAATGAATTACAAAGGAAATTGCTTACCGTGTCAAAGACAATTGACAGGTAAGTTCTACAATGTACATTGTACAGCATAGAGGATTTACCTCCCTTTGATAATAAACCTTTTCTAATGAGGATCAATTAGCAAGAAAACATTATTCCCATCACTTCATTGCTGCATATCTAGGATTATTTGACGGTTTCCCCAGAAACAATTCCCATATTATGTGCCTTTTTTTATCCAATGTCTATCTATATTTCTGACAGACATAAATTGTACATCAACAATAGCTTATCTGTAGTTTCATCTTGTCTTTATTGGTTGATAAGTCAGAGTACACTTCACTTATCAACAAACCAGTCTTTTATTACCTGAAGGACACCTTGAGACATCGTAACCTTCAAAAATCCCACTATGGTTTAAAAGTTGTAAACAAGCCTTTGTAGTTTATACTCGTTTTAAACAAATTAGTACAAAATTAGCGTGAGCATGTATATCTTTAATCATCTTGCTGAAACGATGTTTTCATTTCAGAAATATAGTCTTGCTATCGAGGCAGAGCTGCTATATCTGTACTAGATATTAGAAAACAAGCTGATGCTGCTTGATAAGCTGGCATTTTGCGTGTTGATACCGATGTATTTGGTTTTGAGATGGCCCCCCCAATGCATAAAGCTACTTCCTCTGGCAGATGTATCAGTCAATGTTAGGCTGTAGTATGTGTAGCAGGGTGCTTGCTTCAATCCACTGACCCTGGTGTTTTCATCTCCACAGTTGAGCCCCCCGGGTATCATAGGGATCAGCTGTCACACCATACTCAGGCAGGAAGTGCAAGAAAACAGACTTGGACATATTTAACTGTGATTGTGGAATAATTTCTCTGTGGATGTATGTGTAAACATAGAAGGCCAGCCTCCGCAACAGCTATAGGGGATGCTACATAGGTAAGTCATAGTACAGGCCGATCAAGGAAACGATGCACTTACATGGGATTCCTTTAAGGCACTTGTGACTTTATAATTTGACATTTTGGAAGTGATAGTATCTTATAGATAAGGTATTTTACTGTCAGTATGTCTAGATAAATTTGCTGTAGGAGAAATGAGAAAATGATGTATTCAGTGAATTTGTTTGACTATAACACAGCAGGTTTTCATGTAAGCATCAGAATACATGTGGTGTATAGCTGGTATAGTTAGTGGAATTACGTTTGTATAGCAGCAGGTACTTGCTATTACCTAGTACATATTATATATAAATATATGTACCTACAAGGCATCGGCGGCTTGATCAATAGGGCACATATTGGTCTTGTAAACATGTGATGATTAATGATCATGGAGACCATGTAAGTGATGCAACCACATGACTACTTTATTTCTTACTTACTTAGTATGTAAAATAGATTGCTGAAGTTTGAATATTCTATATTAATGTTTCAACATAGACAGAAATATCTAAAGTCCCTAGCGTTTACTGTATAGACGTACCTTGCTATCAGTATAGTTACTGTACCATAACATATTATAAAAACCCTAGAAATAAGGTGTCAATTATAGTTCATAGATTTTATCCCCAACACAAGTACATGTGTATAGACTAACACATGATTGGTTGGTTGATTGATCAGGCTTAACTTACATCCATGTTCCAGCTATAACCAGCCTAGGACAATATAGATTAACACGTTTGTAGGTGAACAATATCACAAACAAGTATAACAAGTTATTTTTATAAACTAACAAGTTTGTAGGTGTACTCCTCACAAATAAATACAGCAAGTTTTTGAATCTTAAAGCACATATATAAGAATTCATGCAATGAATATTTTTTCAAAAGAAAACTACATATTTTAACAGTAGATGGTTTGAATAAACAACATAACATATATAGCTAAAATGTACTCAAGAAAAATGTTAAATTATTAATGACATTACAATTTTAGTTAATTAGATATTGACACCAATGATGTAATTGGCCAGCAAGAATGCCATAGATTGAATTAAATTTAATGCTGATGTATAAAGCTGAATAGTAAAGAGCATGTGAATTTTAATAGTAATATTGACTAGTTTCACTCTGCTCCATGGCCTAGGTGATTATAGGCCCATGATGCCTGGGTATCATACAGTAGGTTGACTCCAGGCCGTTCAGTGATGAACTCCATTAGTATGTTGATACTGGGAAACAGAGAGGGAATGAGGTGAAATAAATTAGAACTTCACATGCCTAGTCATGAAATCAACATTGCATTATTGATCAGTTGGAGCACATTATAGCGGCCACATCAGCTATTGTTAGGGGCCAAAACCAGCGATGACTGTTGCCTGACTGTTGCCGTGGTAATTCACAGTTTCGAGATAGCATATCTTATAGTGGATTTTTCCTAGGTATTGTGACATTCACCCCGCTTTTCCATCCAAACGCTGGATTGATTTTCACATATTGATATCTTCCCTTTGTTTACTTCTCTCCTTGTCCGTTTCAAGGGGAATAACTTTGATGAATAAATCATGTAATGGAATAAGTATACCACTTTAATGGTACTCACATAGTGTGAAGTGATAAAAGCATCTTTCCTGAAGATTTTCTGGATATAATAACGTATGATAAAATGACTAACTTAATCTGTCTGCTATATAATACTATTGAATAAAACCTTTGTATAGACTGAAAATATCTGGGACACATGTGAGTCTTCTAAAATTTGTTTTCAGTTTGGTAAATATCAACAACTGATAATTCTAGTAAATATCAACAACTGATAATTCTAGTAAATATCAACAGCTGATAATTCTATAATGGTCATAAAAGGTGATGTTTTCTATATGTGTGTATGTACATAGAATTAGTTCTTCAGTTCTCATAGCCACTGGTGATGAGTGGTGGCAGTGTAAATGTATGGTAGTCAGAGAGATTATCAGTGTACATATGTAGGCCAGTAAGGTAATTGTTTCATAAACAAATGCTGAAAGTTACTCACAGTCTATGTAAGACCAATTAAGGGAAGGAAAGCCCTCATCATCAAAAAGAAATGTCCCACTCAGAACAAGAGTATATAAGTTATCTCACCTGTGGTGGGATGAATGATGAGATATTTGTAAGCGCGGAAAATGATGCATTTGTTTACTTGTATAAAACCTGTGGTTACCATGTTTATCTGTATTATAATGCCCCAATCAGAAACATATCTCATTTTACATATTCTGTATAGAACTTGTCAGTATATGGGGTGAACATTCGGGAACAAGTACATAATTTCATCCTTTTCCAAGCAGTAGCTAGGTTGCCTTGGCTAATCCTAGGTATAAATAGCCTTCACACTTTGATAGATGAGGTGGCTGTTGGCCTACTCTAGTTAACTGCTACACACAAACCTGTCTGGTCAGTTCACTTCAGTAAGTATCCATCATATCTCACTGACCAACTGTTTAGTTTCCATTAAAATCAATCAACAGAGAAGTAATGCCAATAAAAACAGAAGTGGTGTAGTGGTGTATGGTGTGTGAGGTTAGGAACCCGGTGTAAACACAGCTATAATACTAGTTTTATAGACACGTTCATTTGTACAGCGTATCGGTGAGAACTTTTTTTGTGTGACAGATTCTCAGCAGGTGAATGAAATTCATCAAATCACTTAGCTTCTAGATGTAGTACTTGATTCCTTATAGATTTAATAATCAGCTGATAAAAATCACTCTACTTATGTTACTTAGTCAAAATATGTTAGCTTTTGAAATGCTTGCACCCTCGGTAATACTGATCGGTGCTGTAGTAGTATAATCTGTGTACATAGATAACCTGTTTGTTGAATTTTCACAAATTTCACATTAAATATCTACCCAGTAAAAAATAACTATAGTGTAAGTATATAAGGCTCATCTTGTGAAAATGAATTATTTATTGTGAACAAATTTACATATTTCAGCACTTAATTATGGTAATCAGTCTTATCACTAAATATGTTATTACTCTTCCTGTATGATACATGTATGATAAATATTTAATATTTACTTTTGTGTTTATGAGATTTCAGCACTTAATTACGGTAATCAGTCTTATCACTAAATATGATATTACTCTTCCTGTATGATACATGTACAGCTGGTGGGCCAAAACATTGTGCATGTGTATAACATTAAAAAATCACCAATGCACAGAGTACTGATAAGTCTACTGGATCAATTGGATAAACAAACCACATTTATACCCTGTTAAACAGATTGACACAAAGTTTGTATCAACTCAAGACAAAATCCTTGTTTAAAAAGTAAATTATATCAAAAAGTGAAAGCATGGCATAAACCTAGCTTTCTTTTATGGTGAAAAATAAGATTGTAGCTAGTTTTGTCATAAAACTATGGTAATCTTATTATATTAAGAAATGTTATCCATTAGTTGATAACATTTGATAAATCAATAGTTTACAGATTTGTCTTCAAGTAATAAGCTGGTGTGCTGGCAGACATAATATTTATCTAACTATACAGGAAGTGTGTATAATAAATTATCCCGTCTATGTCAAATTAGCAACAGGCAGTGATATGGAACCTGTGGAAAAGCATGTTTTCCCAAAAAAAATCACTCTCATATGATCTTACAGTACAGCTCCGCCATGGCATGCGCGGACACTTAAATTTAAAATGTAAATATCCTTTTACAGTGGAAAAAATAAGTAGGGGATTACCCTATTTACACATCCTTGATCGATGAAACACTTTAAGGATGCCTGTACCAAAGACTGCATGTAACTGTGAATTGGACATTTTTTACTGGTATGAGGCAATAGCTTTAATAAATCATTTCTGAAAAGAAAGCCTATACCGTGCGGAACATTTATCAAAACACTAATAAATGTGAAATAGACCCAAAAAAACACCAACAGTGGTATAAAGTGATCATGCAACAGGGTGATACCAGGATTCTAACTGTTGACCTCCCGTCACAATAGGTCACCTCTAACCAGTACAGCTACCTGATCAGGGGTACTTCCCTAGCTTAAACCCACTAGAGTTGTTTCAAAAACGAAAATAAGGGGAGGTTACTGTAAACTGCGGTGGAATTCTCAAGTGTTTTCATGCAGAGGGACAAGGATCCTTAAAACAGTGTTATATACAACAGAGGTAAGTTTTGTCAGACACGATAAATATGTAAACATCGTGAATCTTGTGATTGGAACTTATTTTCTGATAAGACATAAAGACCTGATAGACATAAATACTTTCTAGAAAGTGTTGTGTTAAGTTAGTGAGCTGATATTGGTTAAGTTATGATAAAGAGTGTTTTAGGTTTTTTTCTGAGTTTTAAAATGAAAATCAAGATCATTCTGTCAAGTTAGACATGTTAGAACTAGATATTTAAAACCTGTTCCTACTACAATTTCAAGGAAGATAGTGAAATTAACTTGAATATATTTATGTAATGTGCAAAAGAATACACAACTTTAAATAGGAATTCAGTACAAAGAGTGAAGCTTTTTTTTTAAATCTGGATATTTTGTTATTTTCTGTTGCTCGTCATACTTCCTGGAAATTTTGTCTAGCTCATTTACATGTACCTGACATGCTGTGTCACTGTATTCTATACAACATAGGGTACATGTAAGATATATCAGTACCTTAAGTGATGACATGTGGACATTTCACTGATACTATGTAAGGTAAGGTTGATTAATGGGTTAGAAATACCAGGCCAGCTCGGGTACTTAGCTGTACAAGGTGTAAAGGTGTGTGCACATACTCCAGTGAGTCTTACGTACCTTGGGTGAAGCCATATTTTCATTGATATTGCTTTGGGGTAAATCCTTCACAGTATATAGATCGTGCAGCGTAAACAGGAAGCCATCTTCTTATAAACACGAACCTCTCTAGGAATTTGTTTAATCATATCCATGTTACAGACATTATATTACTGGTGGTGCTTGATTGGAATGTGTTGAGAAGTT